ATTTCTCCTAGGCCCAGGTACCCCCTGACTGAACACAAGTTGCTTTAAAACCAAGAGTTATAGAGAAAACACAGTTTGGTTTATTTGGTTTTCCATGGCCAATCCTCTTACAAATAGGCACCTGGTGGCTGATAATTGGGAAAACTAGATAGTAGTTCAGGAAACAGACCAGTGTCTCACACCATACATCATAAATAATGTGCTAACAATATAAAAAAAATTTAAAGCACAAAATAAATGTAAGAAAGGAAATTATATTTCACAAGTGTAGACAAGGGATAAATTCTTAACATAGTTTAACTTAGAGGAAATATTGTAAAAGAGATATATTAATTTGATTATATAAGAAACTAAGTCCTCCACACACATTATATGTGTGTGTAATTAGATACTACCATCCCCCAAAGCTGTTATTTTATATATTTCCTTGAATGCACAGTAAAACTTCTAGAAAACTGTTAATACCTGTTGTCTCCATTTCTTCTCTCACTCTCTCATTTTATTTTGAATGCAATAAACAAATAAAATGAGCATTTGCATATACAAAGTAGGACTAAAAAAAAGGATTGCACATGAAGCTGGATATCTCTATTATGTTCATCTTTTTTTTCTTTTATGAACATAATAAATTCAACATGTAGCTTTCAAAACTGTTCTGCTTATCAGAGTTTCTTTCTGGCCTTCCTTTTGTACTCTTCTATGCACTTTTAAGAAAAGCTTGTTAGCCTTTCTTTCTTTCCTTTTTTTTTCTTTTGGCAACCCTATTACACTACCCTCATTGAAATTTAAAAAAAAAAATTTTAAAGTTATGACAAATATGCATAGTCAAACAAAACAAAACCTCTGATTAGCTGTGTCCAAAAATGCATGTCTCCTTTTGTATATTGAGTCCATGACTTCAGGTGATGGGTATCCTACTTCATCACTGGTCCTCTGGAATCAGAGTTGGTCAGTAAATTGATTATTGTATAAGTGGTTCTGCTCACTTGACTCTGCATTAGTTCATCCAAGTCTTACCAAGTTTCTCTGAACCCATTTCCTTTGTCATCTCTTTGGTGCAATAATATACCATTATATTCATAGTCCATAATTTGTGTAGATATTCCCCATTTCCAGTTCTTTGCTATTACAAAAGAATTGCTATATTTTTTAACATGTGTATTGTTTTCCTCTTTGTTTGATCTCATAGCCCTAGTAATGGTATCAGTGGATCAAACAGTAGATAACTGGTTTAATGACTTTTTTTGTATAGTTCCAAGCTGTTTTTCCAAAATACCTAGAACAGGGGTGGGGAACCTGAGGCCTTGAGGCCACATGTGGCCTTCTAGATCCCTGGGTGTGGCGTTTTGATTGAGTACAAGTTTTACAGAACAAATCCTTTTATTAAGGGGATTTGTTCTGTGAAGTTTGGATTTAGTCAAAGGGCTGAACCCAAGGACCTAGAAGGCCACATGTGGCCTGGAGGTCTCAGGTTCCCCACTCCTGGCCTAGAACAATCCACAAATCCACCAACAGTGCATTAGTGAGCCCTTTTTTCCTGTAGCCTTTCCCAAAGACTATTATTTTAAATTGTCATCTTTATCAACCTGATTAGGTGTGAAATGAAACCCCAGAATTGCCTAAATCTGTATTTCTCTAATTATTAGTAATTTAGAGCATTTTTTTCACATAGCTGTTAATATCTTGAATGTCTTTCTTTGCTTCTCAGCCTTTTGTAATTGGGTTTCCAAACTCATTACTCTACTGAAAATGCTCTCTCCAAAGTTGCCAATGATCTTTTTTTAATTAAATGTTTTATTTTTTCTCCCTTCCTCCTCCACACTCCCATCACTGAAAAACAAAAAAAACAAAAATAAAACCATTCTAACAAATAAACATAGTCAAGCAAAATGAATTCCCATATTGGCCATGTCTCAAAATGTGTGTCTCAATCAGGAAGTGAATAGCATTTGTCATTAGTCTTCTCTGGAATCATGATGGACCAGAGTCCTTAGAACTTCCAGAACTGTTCATTATTACAACATTGATGTCATGGGGTAAATTGTTCTGGTTTTAATCATTTCACTCTGTCTCAGTCAATACGTGTCTTCCCAGCTTTCCCTAAAAACCATCTCCATCATTTCTTAGAGCACAAAAGTATTTCTTTGTATTCATATACTATAATTTGGTTAGCTGTTCTCCAGTTGATGGACAGTCCCTTAGTTTCTATTTCTTTGCAAATATTTTTTTTTCACATGTAAGTCCTTGTCCTCTTTCTTTGATCTCTTTAAAGTATAAGCTGAATACTGAGATTGCTGGATCAAAGGATATGTACAGTTTAATAACTTTATGGACATAATTCCCAATTGCTATCTAGAATGGCTGTAATGATCTCTTAATGATCAAGTCTAGTGGTCTTTTCTCAATCCTCATCCTTCTTGAACTTTGCAGCTTCTTCAACTTTGACACTATTGACCACCCTTTCCTCCTGAATATTCTCATCTCTCTGGACTATCATGACACTTCTCTCCTGATTCTCTTCCCAACTGTCTAACCACTCCTCCTCAGTCTCCTTTGTTGTCTGATCATCCATATGCTTCCTAAATATACGTGAACTCCGAGGCTTTATCCTGGATCATCTTCTATTGCCTCTCTACACTCTTAGCAAGCAGATCAGCTCCCATGGGTTTAATTATCATCTCTATACAATGACCCCAAATCTACATATATTTAGTCCTAGCCTCTCTACTGAGTGCCACATCTCTAGCTGCCTACTGGAAATCTTTTAGGCATCTCGAATTCAATTTGTCAAAAACTGAATTAATTATAATTTCTCCCTGAACACTGTTTATGAGTAATCCTACTAGAAACTCCAACTGTTCACCATTACTCATAGAACCCTGTGGAGAGATATAGCCATCCATCCTTTGAAAACTTGGCCCACCAGTGTGAATGGGAGTTGGGAAGTGATCCCGGAAGAGGTACTGACATACTCTTCCTGGTTATTTGCTAGTAAGAAAATAAACTCTTTCCCCCACCAATCTCCTTTCTCATCTTCATTTTTATTAGTAGTATGTATGGAGGGATGATTGAAGTTTGAACTATCTGACATAGATGAGCAACAACAAAGATTATTAATGTTTAGACCAAAATCAGAAGGTAATCATGATGAAACTATAGAACCCTACAACCGAGGAATTTCCACCCTTGTGAACTTTTAATAGTGTGAACCCGGGGCAGCTAGGTGGCACAGTGGATAGAGCTCTGGCCTTTGTAATCAGGAGGATATGAGTTCAAATCCAGTCTCAGATACATGACACTTACTAGCTGTGTGAGCCTGGGTAAGTCACTTAACCCCAATTGCCTCACCAAAAAAACCAAAAAAACCCCCAAAACCCACGTTCAATAGTGTGAACCCCCTGGGATGATATAAACAGTGGGCCTGACCAGGGGCAAGGAAGAGACTAACTACTTGTGGTCCTGTCCAGACTTAGGGTTTCAGGACTTTCCATCTGTGGTAGGAAACTGAATCGGTTTGGGGTCACAGAGATCCTAAATTATGAGAAACACAGGACTTAGAACAGAGTAGAACCTTAAAGATCACCTAATCTAGTCCACCCACCTCATTTTATATGAAAAAGCTGAGACCCAGAGAAAGGAAGTTCGAGGTCTACAAACGAGCTTTGTAATTTTCCAAACAATGTTAAAGTATGGTGCAAACCTTGAAGTGCTATATAAATGTTAGCAAGTATTGTTTCCCAATAAAATAATATTACTATAATATTATTGGGAAATAATAAAAGCTAACATTTATAAGCACCTTAAGATTTGGATCCCCACCCTGCTGCTTAAGAAATAATATATGCAAAGCATTATACAAACCTTAAAGTACTATGTAAACATTAGCCATTATTTCCTGTTTGCATATTTCCCAATATTATGCAAACCTTAAAGCAATACGTGTTAACAAATATTCTTTCCTGATAATACAGGATTACATTATTAAAATTTTTATGTATTTTTTTCCAATAATGCTATTTAGTTGATAATAGCTAACACAATACTTTTGCCTAATACTGAGAAATAATAATAGCCAGTATGTATATAAGGCTTCAAGGTCTGTAAGCGTTTTACACAGATTGAAGTTCCTTGAGGGCACAGACTGCCTTTACCTCTTCTTGTATCCTCAGCGCTTAGCCAGTTAATAAATGTTTATTAAATTAAATTGAGTATCTCCTTTGAGGCGGGCTGGTAAGCAGCTGGGTGAAGAACCAGACTTAGCTCTCGGAGGAATCCCGTGATTTTTGCAATAAACCAGGGCTCTCAGTTGTCAGCACGATGATGATATAGTGGCTGGACGCTTTGGAACGTTTCCTCTTTTTCAGTCGGACATTCATCATCTAATAGAGAGGCTTAGGGCTGACGGTTGTACCTGCGCCCTGGGG